AATTAGTAATTTTATCGTTATCGTTTTGCAAGCATATAATATGTGACATATAGTTAACATTCTTGACATGCAAACGCTCTTACCAACGCAGAAGAAACACAAACATCCTAGTGGAGGACAGAAGGGTAATTTAAATGTCATTAGGCTTAATATGCCATTATATTATTAAGCAAAACAAAACTCCTCAAACACCACCTTATAATGCAGCATATAGGGTGTATTTCCACTGTTAATAAAAGATATATTTACACAGGTAAGTATTATCTAAAACTTTAGATCATGTGAATTAAAAGTATCACTTACTCATATATTCTCAGAAAATTTACCTTTAGGAAATATCTAAACAAGTTTTAATATATTGTTAGCAAAGGTATCTAAATCTACATGAGATATAAGAGTGATATTGTGATTAAGTGTCTCTTCATTTAACCAGGCTGACTACTGCTGGTCTATCTTATCTATTTACAATCTACTTTAATTTTTGTATTATGAATTGTATAACATTTAGCAAATATTTTATTTCACATACTAATTTTATTTGCCCTTCTAATCATTCTTTGACATTGACTGAATCATATCCCTCTACTAAGTAAAAATAAAACTGTGGCAGTTAGAGACAAATTTCAAAAGCATATTTCATCAGTTATTCTAAAAGAAATGAAGTTGATGACAAAATGGGCAATGTCTGAAGCTGATTTTGGTTTTTCTATGGAGCAATTCAAGAAGTATTTTTAAATTCTTTATCATTTTAGATAGCATGTTTAGCATGTTCTCTGTCCATTTTCTTTTACTTTTTAAAACATCAAAACACTATCTGACACCAGATATAATTTACTATATTTAAATGTTTAAATTAAATAAATAAAAATTACCAGATTTAAATGTTTAAAAAGTCTGAAAAATTAGATTCTGCCCTATAAAAACTGATGTCAAAACAAATAATTTAACTAGATTTAATAGTTCACCTCAAAATAATAGTTGGGTTTAACCTTTCATCAGACTGGTAAAGTTGTGGGATCTTTGCTAATTTTCTCTCTTTAGTAGCAGTAGTATATTGAGAAAAAGGTAGAATGAACAGCTTTTTTATGTGTGTGTGTTTTTTTTTTAAGAAAAACAAAGCCAATAATGATAAAACTACCCATCCATAATGATGTCTTTTCTAATGATTGTTTTCAAAATAAATATTCACTGAACATAAAAAGACCTGATACTCACTTTCTTCGACAATCTATATTACACATATGCAAAACAGAGTGTAGACTTAAGTAATTCTAGTATAATGTTATTGTTAACCTCATAAGTACTTTTTAGAAGTAAAATAGATGTTTATCTCAGTGAATCGCTTCACAAAAATCAGAAATACAAAATATAGCCTAATCCCAATATTACTAATCACTCAAATCACTGTATCATCCCTTACATACAGTAGATATCACAACAGTTTATATTTTCAAATTCATTCTACTTTGAGAACTTTCTGAAAGCCATCTGCAACACAAGCAAATACTATCTTAAGGGGGATTACTGAGTTGAATACATTATGATGCAATCAAAAATTTTCTGGAATTTTTTAAACCACAGCTTGAAGCTTGATTTGAATTAAAGTAACCCATGAAGGGGGAAAAATAAAACATACAAGAAAAAAATATTTTTATTCTCTTAAATGTACTTTCAATGTATTTAACAATTTTAGATGTCAAGATAAGAATAATGTAAAAATTCATCACAATGAGAATTGCTTAGATAAAGAAAAAGCCTCATTTAAATCTTGAGCCACATATTCTTATAGATTCTCTGAGTTTAATTCAGCAATCTTGTTTTCTGGGGCCATTTTTGTTTCTTTGTCCTCTGCTCCTAGCGGCACTCTGTAAAAGGTGAACGCCGAAATGTTGAGGTGTTCGAGAGGACCGTTATTCAGTTATCCTGGCCAACTTGGCCAAGTGATATAAAAACACACTGCCCCCCTCAAAGAGCCACTTTTATAACAGTATATGCGTGCCAATCTGGCATATTCCAAGTGTTTGTAAGGCCTGGAATGTTTAGATTCTCAATCTAAATGGTAAATTTTCAAAAGCTTCACATTTATTTTTAGTTCTAGATCATTTTTTATTGAACGAATGCAAAAAGGGAGCTGACAAGAAGATACGATTTTTCCCCAAATGGTTCAAAGAATAACTATGCCATTTAAGTACTTGTATTTGATATTTTAAACATTACATTACCGTCTAAATACCACTTATCTCATATATTAACTGTATTAGTGTAACAACATTTTATTACAAAATAGGACAGGACATAAATAGGTTATTCTTAAAACTTACTGGCCTAAGTGTATTTAGAAACTAAAGTGAAAATATATTTTCTGTTAACCTTTCTGGTCATTAACTTATGATACTCTATTATCTTGTTAGAGATTATGTTTTAGCTCTACAGTTCCTCTAAACTACTGTTAAGAGGAAAAATAGCATTTCCCATCATAAATAGGCCAGTAATTAAAAAAATAGAAAACTAGCCCTTTTAAAAATTTGAAATACCTTTTTATAATTTACTTTGTTTTTCTATCTGCCATCTACTCTTATCTTACTAGACAAAGAAAAGCCATTATTGAATTTAACAAGTCATCACCACATTTATTTCACGTAATGACCTTCACCAGAGCATTTAAACTATGACTGGGATTATTTTGAATGAACTTAGTTCTTTTTTGAGAAACAAAATGGCAAACTCAGATCTCATGTGTAGTCTCTGAAGGAAAAAAATATATACATAGACTGAGAGAGGTCAGTAAATACAGGAAAGAGATCATAGGAGTCATGTTTATCACGAGTTTAAAAATATGTGGATCAGCATTTGGAAGAACTTTGTAATGTTTGTCTGTGTAAATCCTGCTGAAAAAGACAATTTGGTACTATTTTCAGAGAAAGGTGTTTTCATGCTATTATGCATTTCCACAGAGCTACGGGATCTGAGGTACAGTTACGTGAAAAAGGCGTTAAGTAATGTGATACCATGGCATGCCAGGATCCTAGCGTAGAATAAAAACAAGTAGAATTCTTTTAGTTGTTTGGCACCACAGAGTGAAGTAACCCAGACAATCCGTGAAACTATTTTAATTTAATTTTAATTATAAGAGGATATTAAGGCATCACCTAGCTAAATAACCTGTGCACCACTTTAAAGACAGGAGAATACTAGAATATTTCCCAAAGATAGAGAATTCTTCGAATTTACAGTACTCTAGCTTGCTAGTTTACTTGTCCATGTGTTGACAAGATGGTACTGGGCCTGGCATCTTACAAGGCAGGTAATTGGAAACTATCATGATGAATGAAACAATGTCCCCTTTTGATCAACTATATGACCTTTCCTACCACTTTCTGTTCTCTGGTGTCAAATCTCATTTTAAACTAGCTTACAATGCTCTACTAAGGACACGGCCCACCATCCAACTGTCTCATACTGATAAATGCTGCATCTATTCAGAGTCACTTTTTTCCTAAGTCATATATCATAATACATAATACATTCTTATATCTTTCTATTTGGCTTCAATTGTTAGGTCTCTTTTTAGCTACTCCTAAGGGATTCTTTTCTCTTATTTCTGAAAATAATTTTCCTGCATACATGAATTATCCTCCACTTTTGTCCCTACTGAACTCAGTTTGATGTATGTCGTCCCACTTCTCCAGTTTGTCAAGATGTTTTGAATTTAAATCCTGTTCTATGATGTCAGTCTACCCAAGTAGATGTCATCAGGAAAAATATACTTTCTAATCATGCACCTGATTCACAGAAAAGTCTGTTCTGTGCCTAGATGGCTTCAATCTGAATAGCCCATCCTCTAAGTTAACTCTGAAATCTGCTGGTAGTGAGATACAATTTATTACAGAAGACGAAATGTAATACAGATAATTATTTGCTTTATTTCTTGATTACACTCTACATAGCACCTGCTAGACTAAGTTAAATAAAGTGAGTTTATTGTTTGTCAGTCTAATAATACTAAAGCAATGGTTTTTTGAAATCTTTATTTTTTTCTCCTATTTCTATTTCTAATGAATTGAGGCAAAGGGGGAATGCTGGTATTATTTCCAAGCATTTCTGGTTAAAATATAGACCAAATGAAAAATGAAGTGACAAGTTTCTCAGTAGAACTCAGGGATCCAGTGCTTGTTTAGTCATGCAGGATGCACAACACATTGAGGTCCTAGAATCCTGGATTCTATCACTCATGCACATCAGAACTCAGAATTCCAGGGCTGGGCACGGTCCTCACACGGTCCTCACACTGTGAGAGGTGGAGGTGGGAGAGTTGCTTCTGCTCAGGAGTCTGAGAGTAGCCTTATCAAGAGTGAGATGCTGTCTCTACTGAAAACAGAAAAAATGAATCAGACATTGTGTGTGTGTGGGGGGGGGCGGTGCCTGTACAGCTCCTTGGGAGGCTGAGGCAAGAAGAATCATCACTTGAACCCAGGAGTTTAAGGTTGCTCTGAGCTAGCCTAATAACTATAGCAGCCTAGCCTGAGGGAAAAGTAAGACTCTGTCTAAAATTAAATTAAATTCCTAAGAATTATGATTATTTTGTTTAGCTTATATTCCTATTAGAGATCAGAAATGAATTTTAAAACCGCTATTGGATTAACTCACATGTCTTGTAGATAACTTTTAAAATGTATGACTATTTTATTTACTTCATTGTGATAAATAATATTACTTTTTCTCCTATGTTTATTTTTAATTTCATAAAGCTCACCAAGAAATGACTTGACATATTCTACAAATTAGAGAAATAGCTTATCATGTACCCATTCTTTGATGCTCTTTGATTATCTGAGGATTTTATTTTTGTGCATAATAAAAAAACAATGGATGCAAAGAATGTGTTATTTCCTTCATTATGATCATCCGGATTTACACAACAGCAGATAGATTGAAGACTTTGTTAAGTATTGGTATTAAGATCTATACAAATTAAGGAAAACACAGTAGGGAGACCAACATTATTTACAAAGGATCATTTATTAAACACTTTTTATTTACAAAATACAAAAATTGTTCTTTTGCATGAATACATCACATATGAAAAATAATGTGTTTTTATTGACTTTATTATAATTTGCAGACATTCAGAATTACGTTTTCTATCAACTTGAGGAATCGCTGTGTTTTGCACCTTGTCTGACACCATTGCCAATCAGGAAGAGACCTTTTCCTCGTTAATTATCATATTCATACAGCTAACAGTTATAGAAATAAAATCAGACAATGTCTGTTATACAAAGCTCTTTCTGCAAGGTAACTGATTTGCCTATGATCCTAATTTTTTTTTTCCCAAGCTATAAGATAAGAAGAATTGAGGAGCTAGGCAAGTTTTATAGTAATGTATTAGCAGCAGTTGATAGTAAATGCAACATAAGATTTGTTTTGTCTGTGGTACAAGAATATGTCCTATCAGACTCTACTGTATTTTTCTCTACTTGAACACGAGTAAGCACACGCTGATTTTCTCTGGATGACAAAATGCATAGAAAGGCAAGAAGCTGGTCCTGGTTGTCACTGTGAGTGCCTATTTTTATCAGCTAATATGAATGCATTGCTAACATTAGTGAAGGCAGGAAAATGACTTAAGGGTAATATATACAGAGTTAAAATACAAATTCAATCCACTTGAGTGATTTCAGGCACTGTGGTTGTTCAGGATAAAATGTTTCATGGTTTACTTTCGATAGCAGTTTGATTTTCAGTGCAAGCAAAAGCAAATACCTGCCCACTGTCCTATACATGACCTCGTACAGCTGGAATGTTCAAAGCAAGTTCATCTTCAGCATCTTCCCTGTGAAGGCATCTTGAATACAAATGTTTCACACTTTGCTCTTGGTAGCAATTTCAGTTTCAGTGCAAGCAAAAGCAAACACATACCTGCTTATTGCCATTCACGGGACCAAACACATCTGGAATATTCAAAGCCAGTTCCGCCTTCTCCTTCTTCACTGTGGAAGCATCTTTAATAAGTGGCACTTAGTGTAAATAAATCATGAAAACTAGACTTGAGATGCCTGAATTTAATAACATTAAAAATCACTGCCATCGTCATCTCTGGGTGTAAACGATGTTTGGGTAAGGCTTGCCATCACATTTCTTTCCTGAGAATGGAGCTGGTCCTCTCTGCGTATATCATAAGTGTGCATGCTCTGAGCTGTGCTCACTGTCGTGACTGTCTTCATTGGCTAGAGAGTCCCCTGTGGGCTGGAGGGCGGCGGCACCGATTCCTGAAAGCTCTGAGGGGAGCAGTGTGCCTTTCTTCACATTCACCAGTTCCTTTTCTCGAGCTGCAGCTCCCTGCTGTCCTCCCTTTACCCTCTTCCACTTCATCCGCCTGTTCTGGAACCAGACTTTCACCTTCAACAGCAAAAAGGAACAAACAGACAAAACAGAGATTAAAATGACATGGTTTTCCCTCCTCTTATAGGTCCCTGACAGAGTACACACAGACATTGTGAAGGGGTAGATACAAAACTGCCTGCGTGGTGGATTTAGCAGGTTACTACTGTTCGTGACAATAACTTTACAGCTTTCAGAAGTTGCAGACAAAGCACTAAGTTTATATTTTATAGCATATGATATGAAAAAATAGGTAGAAAAGAAAAACTCTATCATATAATGTTACTCAAAGATGTTTGGTTCTATAGCCAGGCATTGTGGCAGGTGGACACCTGTCGTCTCAGCTACTTGGGAGACGGAGGCAAGAGGATCACTTGAGCCCAAGAGTTTGAGGTTGCTGTGAGCTATGATGCTACAGCACTCTACCTCGGGAGACAAAGGGAGACTCTCTCTCTCTCTCAAAAAAAAAAAATTGGTTCTGTAAAGAATTTTTATAAGTTGGATCTAACAAAACATAGGTCTTGGTCAAAGTTGCACTGCCCCATGTTATTCTTTAACTTGACATCTAGCCGTCGTCAATTCTTGAACCAATTTAAAACATACTCAGGGAGGTACCATGAAGGCGTATCTGAAAGGGGGCTCTGTGCTATTATAAACCACTGTTGCTTTGACACATCTTTATTAGACCATTCCATCTCAGAGTGAGCCTATCTTCTTTTGAACTATTCTTTTTACTTTTTGCCTTTAGTTCTTTTATTTCACTTTGTGAATACGGGATCTAATAATATCCTAAAAGTGTAGTTGTGATCAAAAATTCTCAACAATTGTCAAATGATAATAGTGAGATTGTATATCATTCACAGTAGCTTTGTAGAGATGTTTTTCTTATAAAAGCTTAATTTAATTTGCCTAATTAAAAATGTGTATCATAAACCCAAAAATAACAAACATGCCATAAAAGTCCATCCATGATCAGAACCAGAATAATATTGACATCGTTACATCTTGGTTAAGAGGAAATCTAGACATTTCACAGTGTCTCTCATTATCACGTGTTCTTGTGAGCTAAGAGTTGCTTTTACATTGTATTTCTTTGTCTACTCCACCTGAAATTAGCACAAGCCTGGATTTTGTCTATAATCTCATGCTTTTCTGTAATAAACAAATCTTAAAAGCTTTGTCATAATAGGTGGCCCTAAATATATAAACTTTAATTTTGTTTGTTAGGCTTATCAAAATGGAATGTTCTCAAACGGTAGGCTTTCCGTCTTAGCCATGTTAATTGAAGATACTGTACTTACTCATTTTTATTATTGTATAATATTCCAATTCTATGAAGACACCTCCATTTTTCCATTCTACTGTTATGGACATTTGAGTTACTTTCTTTTTTCCCCTTATCTATGTAATGCTCCTCCTGTAGACACTCCTGAGTTTGTGTTCTAGTAAATAGGTGATAGAATGTCTCTGCCTGTAAGACCAGGAGTTGCATCAGAGGGTCATACAGTATGTGAAAGTTCATCTTTTTTTTCCAAGAAAAAAGCAAGTTTTGTTTTATTTAGGTTGATGAGTAGATTTGGTTCAGTGTTTTTGCATAGATCATAACAGCTTCATCAAAGAATATGTGAATTTCATCTTAATACTGTATTATAGAAGAATTGTTCCCAAAGTTATATCAGTTTAGCTCCCCTACCCAGGGCGGCGTGTAAGAATGCTAATTAATCCCCATGTTTTCCAACGTTTCAGATATCATTTTTTTCCAACAGAACTACTATAAATTCCTATAGTTCCTATAAAGGTTTCAAACTGTTCCTATTATTTATTTACTTACTTATTTTTTGCAGTTTTTGGCCAGGGCTGGGGCATATGGGACCGGTGCCCCACCTCCAGCATATAGGGCCGGTGGGTGCCCCACTCCCTTGAACCACAGGCACTGCCCCAAACTGTTCCTGTTTTTGCATTTCCTAATGGCTAATGAAATAAAGCATCTTTAAACTGCTAAAGCCCGTTTGTATTGATATTTCTTTTTTTGTGTGAAATGCCTCTATATGTTTGGATTGCAGTAAATTTTTAGGTTAAACTTCTTTATAGACTTTTAAAATATGGCCTGAATGCTAACTTAATACTTTGCAGTATATGACTATCTTCTCTAAATTTATACCGCTTCTTTTTCCTATTCTTAGGTATCTCTCAGTGATCAGAAACTTTTAATGCGAATATATTCAAATTTATCTATTGTATTCTTCGTGGTTAGTACTTTTGTGTCTTCTTAAGGAACAGCACCTGTAGCTCAGTGAGTAGGACACCAGCCATATACACCGAGGCTGGTACGTTCGAGTCCAGCCTGGGCCTGCTAACTGCAACCAAAAAATAGCTGAGCATTGTGGCAGGCACCTGTAGTCCCAGCTACTCAGGAGACTGAGGCAAGAGAATCGCTTAAGCCCAACAGTTGGAAGTTACTGTGAGCTGTGATACTACAGCTCTCTACTGAGGGTGACATAACAAGACTCTGTCTCAAAAAAAAAAAGAAAGAAAGAAAGAAATCTGTTGTTTTTTTCTTTCATGAAATAAGTACAATTTTGCCAGGGAAAAAAGGAAAAAAAAAGAAAGAAAGAAAAGAAAGAAATCTCTTTTCTACTTAAACCACTAAGACTTTCTCCTGTGTATTCTTCTAAGAGTTTAAAAGTTCACCATTCAAATTGAAGTGATTAATCCCTGAATATTGATTTTAGTACATGTATAGTGTGAAGAATAGGTGTAAATTTCCTTTATTTCATATAAATAACAAGTTTTCCAAGATCCATTTATTAAACAGTCCACTCTTTTTCCAGTGATCATTGTCTCCCCTCTTTGACGAATCAGGACTCCATATATGCAGAGATTTATTGTTACACTCTATTCTGTTCTTTCATCAGTTTTCTACACCTGTGCCCGAATTACATTATCTTAATTACATACGTTTGTAATAAGCCTTTTATCTGCTAAGGATAGTTCTGCTTATTCTTCTACACCAAGAATATTTTGAATAGTTTCTATTTTCATTTTAGAAACAATCTCAGTTTCTGTAAATATCCAGTGCCAAGGAGAAAGTAAAGAGAAATGCATTAAATTTCTGAGGACATTTGGTATCTGTGATGGTCACATCATAATGCTTCATCAAAATTCATAGAGTTCCTCAGACAGTTGCACAATGAATGATTATTTCTCAATTCTGGGTTTTCACTGGCCTCGCTTTTGGGTTATCATTAAACCTGTGTATCATATATTACCTATACATATCTGTGTATTAAGTCACTTGACAATAAAAAAAAAAAAAGAAAATCAGGTAAAAATGATTAAAAACTAAACTCAGCGGTTGTTCACGTATCATTACTATTTGCTAACCAAAAGGATCAGTAGTTGTCTTTTATTATACACCTACTTGAGGATAGGCAGCTATAACTACACCGTAGGAACGTATTATTTCTAATACTCCCAATTTTCTCAGATATTGGTAACTATTTTATATTTATAAAATGTATTATTTATAAAATAATTCCTATTTTATATTTGAGGAAGTTGGACAAATGTTAAGTGACTTATCTAAGATTATATAGTTGGAAAATGTGCTGAGATATAAACTGGGGCATGTGTGTGTGCGGGGGGGGGAGTGTTTGGTTCCAAATTCTGTGTCTAGTTTTTTTCTTTTTTGGCTCTTGTTATATTTTAAACTCCTTTATTAAAAGCATTCAGGATAAAAAAGTAAAGCAAATAAAGCATGTGAATTGCATCCATATGATTACTATCATTCATGTAATTCTCCTACTTGATATAATTAGGTTTGTAAATATGACACTATTTTCCTATACTATAATTTAGGTAATTATACCACTCAGTTTAATTACCTTTCCAAGCTTGACATTGCGTGTTGCATTAGATCTATTCCACATGAGGTGGGTTCTACTCTTGGCTTCACTTCTGAGTCTTTGCACGAATTTGAGAAAATTATACTTCTCTCTGCCTCAATTTTCATATTTGTACTATTGAAATAATGAGCCTTTCGACATTCCCTATAGGGATATTTTCTCCATAGACAATTCCAGATGGAGGAAACACATAAGTCATCATCATCATCATCATTGTCACCCAGAACTGAAACATTTAATCCAAATAATTTTGGTGGAAAAACAAGGCACATAGATTTCTCAAAATCCATGCTTATTTCCTTTTCTAGGAGAAGGAATACAGTAAGTAATTCTACAATACCTAAAAAAGCTGTTATGGGCAATTGTAAATGAGAAAAATAAGAATATGGTATTGATTTGAGAAATACTTTAGCCTATTTGTGTTATTTTCTACATTTAGATGTGAAATTTCACTATTTGTTTTTTCAACAGACTGATAAAAAGATTTATTATGGTTGTCAACAGTAGCTATATACATATATGAATATAAAAGATATATTCATATATACACATACATAGACACATGTGCATATACGTATGAGTGAAAACTTTTGGGGATAAATAGTAATGATAATGCCTTATATATAATTTTCTTTAAATATTAGATTACATTTGTTAGTAAGGAAACAAAAAACAGAAGCAAATACATAATGGACATATAAGAAGGAGAAGTCAAAATCTAGAACTCCAAAAGTCAATGAGTCCAGATATTTTCAACTATTCTATAAAATACTTGTGTGAACTGAAATACATAGAGGAAGGGTTTGGAGAAAAATACATCTTTAGTATCATGATATTAGCAAAACCCCCCTCAAATCTACAATGGTAACTCCAAAATATAAATCCATATCATCATTTAATAACACTGTAGTCAATTTGTAAACAATTAAATATTTAGTTTAATTTAATATCTCGTCATCAACCCACTTTCACTGACTAAAAAAAAAGTCATTTTTGGTTTTGTTTTTAAGGTAGTTAAGTTTTAATCATACAAATTCCTGACACTTTATTTTTTAAAATAAGTATTATAATTATTATTTTCATTAAGGGCTAGCAAGGGCCCAGGGCAGTGGC